CATTGGCCTGTAAAAGTGGGTTCCGTTGTTGGCAGGATTTGCCTTAATCATCGCGCTTAGCAGGCGGATTACCAATCGCAGTACCAGATGTCACGCACGTGTTAGAGCCATGCTGCAGCTTAATGCTGCTGTGTTTCGTATGGTGACTGTAGAGAACCGGAGACCCTTTTCACTGGAAACGAGGCATTCCATCTTAGTATTCAGAGGTGATAACACGTTTGCACTTTGATTCTTAATCGAGGATAAATATAGATGTCTATCGGCCATAGCATCCACTTACCATCAGGTGGACTGTGTGCTCGTTTGTCACACTTATTATACTCGTATAAAAGAAAACTCTGAAGCATCTACCGTATGTTTGATGTTTGCCCCTATCTATCAGGATCTATAAAAAAATCTGGAATTTTCCATATTTGCCTCTACGACACCCACAGGACGAAATTGGCTGAATGTCTTAAGGCCGCAACTACACGGCATCCGTCGTATCGCAGGGGTGGCGAGCCTTTATGTATCGACGTGCCATTTTCTAAAGAATTGTTTGATTGAGTAATAGACGTGCCATAAAATAATTTTAACTTCGTGGTTATGGGGAAAATAATAGTACTTAATAGTATCGACTCAAAACTTTTTATTTACTATAAAATATAAATAAAGAGTTTTGAGTTGAGACATTTATCATTATAAATTGCAAAATACATTTTGCAATGTATAATAAGAATAATAAATGTTTCAGTTATACGATTAATTCAAATTAAAGTAACATTAGTTATTTCTGTTGCAGATTAGATGACAAACAACTTATATTGAGTTTGTGAAATCCTAAAATACGAGTATAACATAACTGAATTTTTAAATACAGTTGTGTCAACGAAATTGACTATTATGCTATGCGCAAACGAACTATGCATTCCTTGGGGGAGGCGTGGACTTGTAAAGGGCTGTTATGATGATGATGAAACGAACTATGCGTCATTAGCAATGGTAGTATACGATGTCACCAGTATCACTCGCGTTCGTTCGTAATATAATGCTTCATAGTGGACTTTTTGATCGGTGGCATGCCCAAAATATTGTGTCACGTGCCATTGGTTCGCCATCCCTTTTTTTTCTTTTTTTTAACATGGGGAAATGCCTACGCATACCCGCCTCGCGGGGGCAAGGACGGGTTATGTCGGACTCGCACCGACTAAAACCCCATGGTGTTCCACCTTCGTCGCATATTGGCAGGGCTACGGGAACGCTTTCGCACACTTCCGCGGCCCCACCAGCGACTGCCGCCTCATGGCAGCACCTCCTCGGGAGAGGAATATTCCTCCCCGTTCTCCTTCCCAAGTAAGGCGCACCAGAACACATGGCACGCCTTCTTCCACGGCCTCCAATTGCATCTGGGCAACAGACGCCCCTGCGTCCGATGCGCGAAGGCCATGGGGCCAGGAAAAACGAGCACTTAGAAGTACTAGCCTTCCCGACCCCAGCGGCGGATCTGGTCTATGGCTCCGCCGCCAACTAAGATTCGGCTGCGGAGGATAGGGAGAGCGGCGCCTCGCAATACCGACAATCCTCTCCCCCCGCAGCCTCATCACCACCGCATCAACGGTGCGGCCCCGTTTGAGTCGCGGAGGATAGGGCGAGTGGCGCATCGCCATACCAACACTCCTCTTCCTCCGCGACTCCACCTCGGCTGCAGCGGTAGAGGGTGCGGAGTCCCCACTCGCTGCAGTCCACCAGCACACATCCGAAGTGGGCTCCCCAAGCCCACTGAGAGTGGCCACCTCAGGCCGGCCCTTCACCTCGGGCCAGCCAGGTGGGTTCCTCTTGTTCACCTTGGGAGACCAAGCCACGGCTACTAAGCCCCCCCGCCACGACAAGGCGGGAACCCGTTCGGGGGGGTGGTTCGCCATCCCTGGTCTAAGGCATCGGTACTCTTGCCTCTCAATTGTTTCTATCAATCTAGAATCGCACAGAAAGCCAGATTGAAACAAAAATGTATGTTAGTTTAAGTTACAGCCGCCTATATGGCGACTTTTATACTCTCATTTATGAGAGGGTTTTAGGGCAAACAATTTTTTTGTTTCAATCTGGCTTAAATGAGCTTTTCAATCTTAGTCTTATTATAAAACGTGGTTTAATGATGTAGTCTCGTGTTTAAATAGGAATCATTGTCACGAAATAAATCAAAAGATAGAATAGAAGAATATAATAGATAGATAATACAATTTAGTTCGCATGTTTTCCACGGGACTTCTTTAATTAAACGGACTCAAGCTTAAACTTGAGACTAATAATTGTGAACTCTTTGTAATAAAACGGAATAACTATATTATGTATACCGATTCTGGAATAAAGAGTCAATTGAATAAATCTAAATTTAATTTTTTAAAATTACTAAAAGTTACGAAACTTTGAAATTGCTTTTACCTTTTATAATACAACAAACCGTTTTAAAATGCCTTTTGTTTAATTTCAGGCCAGTCTGCGACAGTTGGATCTATCACTGCTGTCAGAACTCTGGGCGCTTAGTGAGGCGATGGCGGCTTGGAGACGACAGCTTGAACGAGCGCCGAGACTTCGCCCCGCACCTCCGCCCCCGCCGCCTCCACACTACCTTCGCACTTAGAAGCTCACTTATACACACTTCGATCAACAATACCAACTAGATAACGGGTCACGTACAAAATCATAGCTAAATACTGTCCGCATGAATATAAACTGAAAAGACAAATTAAATAACATTTAGTGTGAAATCAACCTTAAGTTATAACAAATAAAGTTCTTTTTCCCGTTATTGCCTTGCGAGCGACACTCACCTACAAGAGCTCACGTCTCATGTGCGCTTTTATTTACTGAGATGGATTTCTTGCGCCAACCCGACATCTAGTTGGTATTGTTGATCGAAGTATACAAACAAAGATTGCTTAAGTACCTCCCCTTCCACCGTAACGTAATAAAAGTATTCCTTTTTTAAACTCTCAAATACAGTCATATCTAATAAAATATGGTCGATTTGAAAAGCTTCAGTCGTAACCCTATGCAATAAAATGCGAATGATTTCAATAAGTTTTATATCCTATTTTGCTCGTAACTATACACAATCAAATGATTAGTAGTACAGAGACTGTAAATTATTATATAATTACAACATTTAAAATCAACCGTTTTTTATAATACGGTAAAGTCTACCTAAATACCTATTCTGTACTTATTGCAATTTCCTCTCATAGAAAATTCAATTCTCATATTTTTTTTCTCTAATGGTGTGTTTCAATCAAAATTGGCTAATTTTCAATCATAAGATAAAACTTATCCATTAAATAAATTAAAACCTTGATAAATATATAAGTAAAACAATTGAACTATATATTCATACAACTACAGTCAATCTGGGTATCTTTGGACCACTTTTCGGATAAAAGTATTAATAAATGTTTGGTTATTCCTATAGGCTTAAGAGGTGAGAGTAAGTCAGCTCAAATTCTAATTTCGCCCCCACTTCCCCGCGCGTCGTATGCTATGTACCGACATGTTTGTAATCACTAATACTCTAAGTAGATAGGTCGTTAGATACTTATTTCATTATGTTTATCATATATATGCCTGTTTCTTAACGCCAACCCAGTCGCTTCTTATTTTTATAACGGTTATTTCCCATTTTAATTTTACGTCTTCCTGTTGCGTAATGTGTTTTCTGATCGTAAGCGACACAACTTCTCCCTTCAAAAGCCGGAGCAATACTAACGGAGCGACAGGAACAGGGTTGCTAATGCCAATGTATGTAATTCCCCAAAATTCCATATGAAATTCCCCAAATTTGGGGACAAAAATCTGCTGATTCCCCACAAATTCCCCTCAATATTATTTTAAACAATGAAACAAGTTTAACCTATTTAAATAATATTTATTTTTTAACCTTTGTTGCACTTTTTCCATACGTTTGATGCAAGCATTTTGTTGGAAGGATTAAACTTGGCACTGCCGCCCAATTTTTTTATACCCTCTCTTGTTGCCATTAAAGACACTACAGTACCTGTATTTAGCCGATTGCGATTTTCTGTTTTTAAACATCGAAGCGCACTAAATTTTCTTTCGACCGACGCGTTTGAAAATGGCAATATGAGCAACAAGGACATAACAATTTTTATGTTTGGAAACATGTATTCTCCCGCAGCATTTTTAAGGCGAAATACTTTACCCCAGTAACTTTCGGCATTGATGTTATCTCCATGAATTTCAAGCCCATGTTGCTCAAAATCTAACAAAGCGTGAGTTCGCCACTCGTCATCTAATTTTTGTGCGGTCACAAATTTATAAAGCACTGGAAATCGCTTCAGCACAGGCACAAGTGATTTAATTAGAAACTGTTGAGCTTCTGATGGATTTACAGCGGATATAATAGAAAATAGAGGATCCCCAAAATCAAATCGCTTGGTAATATCTGACGTCAATTCAATATAAAACTCCTGGCAGGTTCTATAGAAATCTGCAATAGCAGCACGAGGTACATTTTCGTCATTTTTTAAAATTTCAATACTTTCTCCAGCCTTTAATCCAATATATATTTCGTTTAAACTTAGAAAATTGGGTTTTTGAAGTCTGCGTTTAAAATATTAGCACAGGACTTGATATAGCTAATTTTCATGAAATTAGAAGACAACGTTTTCAAAAGGTTTTCGACTTCTGGTTTCAATTTGTAAAGAAGGGAAGTTTCTGATTGAAACAAGACATTGAATTTTGTTACCAGTGCAAGTACGTAAGACATGAACTCCAAATATACCACAGTGAATTGGTTGTTCATTGTAATCAGCATTTCTTCGGTAGTCTTCGACGGATCTGAGAAGACTGTTTCTGTCAAGTAGGCTTTTAATGGAGTATACTGCTCTAAGACACGGTCTATACACGCTTTCAGCGAGAGCCATCGAGTTTGAGCTGGTGTGAGAATTTTGTGAATCTCCACTTGAAAGAATTCTTGAAACTCTCTAAATTTTAGTTGTCTTTGTGAACTTCTACTGAAGTGAGCTCCAACAGAACGCAAAAAAATCTTCAACGTTTCGAGGCAATTTAAGACAAGCTTTAGATGATGATAGGTGTATCATGTGACAAGAACATTTCACCAGAGCAATGTGAGGCAAATCTTTTTTAAGAAGAGCAAAAACAGAGCAATGTTCTCCAACCATCACGTTTGTGGTATCTGAACTAAACCCTACCATGTTTTCTATCGATATGTTTTTATTTCGAAGCATTTGATGTAAACAGTCATACAGTCCCTTAGCAGTTCCTGATGACAATTCCACCATATCCAGAAACAAATGCTCTACCTTATTGGTTTTCTCATCGTAGACAACAGCAGTAAAACAGCATTGTTTTAAAGAGCTCTGATCAGTCGTTTCATCCATTATTAATGAAAAGAACATTTTTTCTCCGCGTAATTTTTCATATATATCCTCTAAAAATGTGTTTCCTAAAACATTATTTATTATAGCCATCGCCTTGGTTCTGTGTAAATTCATATTTTTAGCTATAACTGAGTCTGCGAAAATCTCTTTGCAGAGTGGGCCCAAGATGTCGCTAAATGATATTGGTATATTATTTTCAGCCAACGCTCCGGCTAATTTTAGTTCAGCTTTTCGTACATTTATTTCTAAATCCATCACTGGCAAATAATTTGAAATTTTTGGAATATTCTGTATTTCTAATGATTTTTTCTTATGGCGATCTGAATTCATATGTCGAATCAGATCACTTTTATGCGCTATGATCGACACCGAACAAAGCATACAGTGTGCTAAATCATTTCCATCTTTCATTTTCGAATCTTTGCATAGCCAGCTCAAGAAGTTTGGTTCTTGAAGCCATAAATCATTAAATTTATTCAGGCGTTTTATTTTTTTAGTTTGTGGATTATTTGACTCACTTGTTGCCAAGCCCACTGAAGTCAAACTGGAACTGGGAATGGGAACAGCATATTCTACTTCTATACTAGAAGTTGAAGCCTCTGATGTTTCCTTTTCGGGTTTCCTTTTACGTTCAAGCTAAAAACCAAAAATTAGGATAGTTATAATCACTGAGTTTCTGACAGACGGTAACCTGCTAATGTTTCATGATCGCGCACAAATAAATAAAAAGGCTATTAATTACCTTACCTTAGGACTATCTTCTTTGTTTTGGCCTTTCATTAACCATTTATCCATATTTGTACAAGATAGTATCGTTACGGCTCGACAAAATACGTATTATAATATTATAATGTTAAGAAATTCACTATTTCACAAAACGTCAAAAGAAAGGGAATCCCCTAATCATAGTGTCGGTATACTTTCCGATATTTCTAGCTTTCATTCAATTTGGTTTATTGCAACCATAGATCAGAAAAAATATTAAGATTTTTGGCTTGGATGCTTGTCTTTTAAGCGATGTTTTCTTCTCATTCATACTCAAAAAGATAAGTGCAATAAAGAGTATTGAGTCCTCCGTTATCCATAAGTACCTAAATTAAAAAAAAAAATATTAAAGTATTTGGTATTTTCGAAAAAGTATATTAACGAAGATGTTAAAATCCCCGCATTTTCCCCGCATAATGCCAATCCCCAATAAATCCCCAATCAACTTGAGATTCCCCGCAGTTTGGGGAATTCCCCACAAATCGGCAACCTTGGACAGGAACCAAGCTTACGCTCCGATAGTTTAGGTAATTTCTTTTTTACAGTGAAAATAATGGTATTTTAAAAAAAGTAAATAACATAAGCACTGCTTTATAGTTAGTTCAGTTAGTATGCAAAGTTTCATGATCTTATTCAAAGTATTTTATGAATAACAGCGGTTTATTGTTTATTTTGGAGGTAACTTTGGATTTTTTTTTCTATCGAGAAAATTTTACGAAATCGTGTTTTCGTCTAACATAATCACTAACTATAATCCTCAACTTTACCATATATTTATTTCAAAATTAATGCTGCAATATTTTCGGCATAACGAAGGATCTTGCTAAGCCATTTGAGGTTATATTTCCCCTTAAGGATATACATAAACTTTTTAGTGACTTTAGGTGATCTTTATTTCAAAAATATTACCACTTATTATCAGTTTTAAAAAAAGTTGGTGAAAAACTTTAAATTCATATGGGCCAAAGTTAGTCTATGAGTTGCACTTGGATTGGCACAGGTCTCAACTATTGATTCTTTTCGCTTATCTTATGGCATTTTTATACTGTCCCGCTCTGCTGAGCAAGCCAAGCTTTTTAGAGGCAATTTTGGCCTTTTCTGCCAAGTGACCACTGAACTGCCCGTCACTCGGTATGTCGACGCCGAGGATTCCGATACTGGCTGAGCCACCAAGGGGGGTGCTCTTAAACTGAGGAGATATGACGAAGAGATTCTTTATAGCGGTAAACGCGCAAACTTGTGTCTTCTGGGGATTGAACTGGACTAGATTTAATCGCCCCCAGTCCGAGACTTTGCTCAACAAAGTCTAGACTTCAGACACAAGTTTGTCCCGGTACTCAACGTCGTTTTCCCGAGAAATATTGACACGGCCAGTGTATAAAGCATCACCTTGCAATGTATCATTGATATGCAGAAGAAACAGCGTTGGTGATAGCACGCAGCCTTGTGGAACACCAGCGTTAATGGATTTGTAATCGGAGCACGCACCGTCTACTACGACCTTGATGCTTCCATCTGCAAGAAAACTGGTGATCCAATTACACAATTTCTTGGGAAGTCCTTAGAAAGGGAGCTTCGTTAAAAGCGCTTTGTGCCAAACCCGATCGAAGGCCTTCGCTATGTCCAAACTAACGGCCAACGCCTCCTTGGACTCTACTGCCCCGCCCACTTATGAGTTATATGACCCAGAAGATCACCAGCTGAGCGACCGCGACGGACACCGTACTGGCGGTCACTAATCAGCTGGTGATCCTCAAGGTACCGCATGAGCTGGCTGTAAAAACGGGCTCCATTATTTTAGAGAACAAGGTAATGGCGATAGGCCTATAGTTGGACGGATCAGAGTGGTTATCTTTTTTAGGGATCGAGTGCATGAAAGCCGTCTTCCATGATTTGGGGACTTCTGGTACTCCTATTCCCTAGGCGTTGTCTAGTCACCGGGGCTGCTGGTACCCTCTGGTGTAGTGTTTCATTTAACTCCACTACCATGTTTGGGGGGGGAGGCGAATTGGGCCTCCGGCCACCTGCACTCAACAAATTAAATGCAGAAGCAGAGCTTCTACTTCACGCTGGTCTTCTGTGAAGTCGTGGTACCTTCCCGGTTCGGTGGCTCTACCACTGTTAACGTTTGGTAAATATTGGTCTACGAATTGGTGTTAATAAATATACTGTCGACAGTCATAGACAAAGTTTTCTTAGATAATTTGTTTTTTAAATTAAATATGGGGAAAATAAAATGTTGCCATAGAAAAAGCAGCATTTCTATTTATTAATATCTATTTAGTCAACAATTAGGAACTTATGTTTCATATAATTAATTTTAGGCACTAAAAACAACCAAACAAATTTTTTTCGTATCAATATAGAGAAAATTTTGCTTAATCCTACGGAAAATGTGATCAAAATCTTCATAGTTAATCACCCTATTCCATAGCTAGGAAGTCATCTTCTATTGAGTAATATTCTTTATTTATTTTATAGCCAAATCCACCTTCTTCAGCCTATTGCAGAAACGAAACCTTATATTTCGTATGAGTTGATATTAGTCCTGGAAATAGGGTTCCTTCATAGTTCACAATACAATTACGATCCAACAACTTTTAATGCATTGTTAACCACCTGAACCACCAGTTCACCATCAACATTAAATTCAAATCTATATTATAATCTTCTTCCTGGGCACTTTTTTCTTGTTGTGCCTTTTCTACAAGGTTTCGATTTTCGTGTTTTGTATAAGGGCAGACATTTGAAGCGTTTTGTGAATTTTCTACATAGTCATCTTCTATTTCACTCATTCTCTTTTCATTTGTACCTTTCAATATGCATATTTTCTGGTGTCTCCTGTACATCTTCCGACTGTATATGATACACATTATGGCTTGTTTTCGTCTTTTTTGCTTTATCATTCAAGTTTGTCGTTTTGATAACCGTAGGTCGTCCACTTTTCTTGGTCGCTTTTTTGGTTTATTTTTAGATTCTTCTTTCTGCTCAATGAACTTTTGGACTTCTTCCACGGATACACATTTCCCGGCTACAACTGGAATCTAGAACTTTTTATTAGCTTCACCCCTATGTCAATGTTTGTTATATCATCAACGTATTTCTTGAAACTTTCACCGACGCTTTCTCATATGTCTTCTATTGACTTGCTATAATCAGGAAGTTTTTTAGCGGTACATTGACATCACAAGGAAACAATCCTGTTTCCTTTAAATCCTGCTATTTTATTTTGGCTAACAGTATCTTTCCCCAAATCTAAAGTCCTGTGTAATAACGAAGCAAAGACGTTTTTCGGCAGAGCCGTTCCAATCTTTCCACGTCTAGTGTTTCACCAATCCTTCAAAATTTATGTTATAATCACTGACTTATATATTACTAGCGTAAGGACCGGGCCGACCGAACAACTAAAACGGACCAGTGCACTGGCCCTTAAATAACAGTTTAGGGCCAACGCGAATCGGTCGACAGTGGTGCGCGCGGAGGACAGATTTGTCTGTTATGAATATGTCTAGTTGCGTGGTAAAAGAATGCAAAAATTACGAGATTGAATTGAAAAACAAAGATTTAAAAGAACATGGGATAATCGTATCGTCGGTAAATAACCTTATATTAATTTTGTTACATTTAAATTATTATATAAACGCATTTTTAAAGTTTTATTTTACAGTTAGTTCAGTTACGTTACCAATATTAGGCTAGGGTTGGATTCAGATCCTCAAAAATATTGTACATGGAAAATAAAACTACTATTTAAAAAAAATATTTTTTATTTCTGTTTAATTTTTGTCTAAAGAACTTAATGTAAACTAAATATATTTTATATTCAATAAGGGTAAAACGAAAAGAGTACAAAAGAAACCATATCTGCTTAATTAAAATATTTTAAATTTCTGTTTTCAAACCGATTGCTTCTGGAGTATAGAGTTTTTATCGTGGTAGCTCCTAATTATAGTTGTATTCAGGATGCAACATAAATGCATCGATCGAGCATCGATTGACCAAAAATGGAGCTAATTATAATTTTATTAAAAAAACGCGGTACTCATGTACAATACAGAAATTCTCAATATCGTAGGGTTAATATTAAAATGTAAAAGGACTCAATAATAATACAAGTCGACCTTTAGGTAAAATTATGGTATTTTCGCTTAGTATTATTACGATATTATGTATAATAATAATCGAAATCCGACTCTGGTTACGTCGTGTTTAATATGACGTTTGTATTATGACAGATGCGCTACTTTTTCTCGTATGAAAAAGTTATGAGTAAAATATTTAGATGGGTCTATCCTTCCTTTTGAAATCATTGATTATAATGGTGAAATGCAGTATAATTAGTTGTAAAAACTCATCAAGGACGTGTAATTCAACTAATAAAGGCTTTATATACAATAAATGGTGGTAAAAACTCTACTTTTGCATTCACACAGAACATGACAGTAAAACGTTGAGTTAACGTTAATGTTGAGTTTTTCATGATTTCCAGATTATTGCAAGTGTCTGAATAAGAGCTTTGCTTTCTTTGGATTGTCGTAAAAGCCCCTCTCATCAAAATTGTGCAGATTTTGCGGTGGTACATCAGAAAATTGTTTTTTAAAATGGTCAAAAAAAAATTCAATCATGTCTTTATTTATTTGTGCTCTTTTCCTACTAATATTGTGAGCAGTGCGTTGGTTTATTTCTGAATGTCAATTGAAAAAAGTTTTACCCCATTCCCAACCAGGAGTGTTATTTTTGAACTTGTTTATACTTTTACTCTGAACATCTAAATATTTTTAATTATAATGTGCATGACATGTATTCCAACTGGGTTCGGATCCCTAGATCGGCCAGTCACAATATGACTTATTCTCTTCGGATTCTAAAAGACTTTCCAACAGGTTTATTATGTTTTCCTTTCAATTTATATTCCAAAGTACTTCTTGGAATTTGAAAAAATTTTGCAGAGTCCCCTGTGAGACAATTTGCAAGTTTTTTTTTTTTTTTTTTTTTTATAGAAGAAGGGGCAAACGAGCATGCGGCTCACC